GGGTTGAAAAAATCTGTTTTGCAATAAGAGAAAGGATTGGGTATTGGCTTGCGTGCCTCTTCCACCAATCCAAAATAAAAAAATCTGTACCACATTCGGCTTCAGTAAACTCAAATAAAATGGTTAGATAACTCTCTAATTCAGAAATATTTCCTATTACTCCCTTTTGTTTTTTTTTTCTATGTAATAAAAGTTGGTACCCTCTACTAATTTTACCTGTACTGTCATTTTGTATCTCCGTAGATTGAGAAGATCTAATATCACCTAAATTATATTTAGTATAAAATTCATTATATAATTCTATTACTACGTTTTTAACCTCACGTACTATGGTTATAACATTTGTCACATCATAATGTAAACATTGATAATACGCACGCAAAAAATCATTTAAGCCATCCAATTTGCAACGCGGATAAAAAACACAAGCAACTAAATAAATCATGGGAATTTCACTATAATAATGAAGCCATTTCATTTTCATTGCAACTATAGTATGTTGTAATTCAACATCATTTTCATATTCATAAAAAATTCCGACAATATTAGTACACTCTACTAAAAATAAATGTGTAGTAGGATAATAAACACCAGACAAAGTATAAGTTGCATCATTAAAAACCTTTAAAAGATTTAAAATTTTTTGGCAAATATGCCACTCTTGTGGGTATAAATTAATTTCAGGTATATTATTAGAAATGAATGCACATAATAAATCTTTATATGCTAAAGATTCACTAAGCAAGTGGAAAGTAGAATTCCAACGAGTTGGAACATCTCTTGGAAATCTTTTTGGCTTTTTGCCATTATCTCTACAAAATCTACCCCATTCTTTCATTTTTTTGGGATGTTTCCATAAAAATTGAATCGCCGTTTTTATTGGTTGAAGAAAAATATCAAGAGTTTTCAAACCATCTTGTACACATAAATTTAAAACATGACAAGCACATCTAATGTGAAAAAATTTTCTGCCAAAAGAGGGTTTACAAATATTTTCTAACTCGGCAATTGAAGCGGTATTTGCTGCGGCATTATCAAAACCAATTGAAAAAATTTTGTTAAGCAAATAATATTCTTCTAAAACTTGCCTAATTATTCTATAAATATTATTTGCCGTACGATGATCATCGAAAACTCTAAATGCAATAACTCTTTTTTGAATAGTCCACTCGTCATCTATCCAATGACACGTTATGCCCATGTAAGAATGATTTTGCCAATGATCACTCCAAATATCACTACCTATATGCACGCATCCATTAAATTGCATAAAAAAGTTTTGTAAATCATTTTTTCCATTTTTGTAAAGATCTTTAATTACTCGTTTAATTGAATTTCTAGGAACACGTTTTGCTTGTGGAGCACATGCTTTTTGTACAAATTCATTAAAACCAAATCTTTCTCCAAAATTAAATGCTAAATGCTCAACGGAAATAAATTTGCCTAATTCTTCCTTATAAGTTTTTTCATTAAAACGAAATAAAGGGGAAGTGTTAGGATTGACGTACCCGGAAATTTGTTGTTGCCCGATATCGATTCCCGTTTCGGTTGGATGTTTGCTCATAAGATGTTGTTTAAATGTTCCATATCCTTGTCCACATGTATATTTATATATTTTTCCACAATATTTACAAATTATATCATACCTTTTTTGACCGATATCAAACCTTTCCATTTTCGTGAAGTGATTCCAAATGTCAGACGTAAATTCCCGTTCCGCTTCCTTTGTTGTAGATATTTCAGCAGGAGGATGAAAACTTTCTTGCGTCGGGACGCGCTCCACATCGTAAAAAATGTTGATTTCATCATCTTGAAAATCTGCATATTCACGAGGATCAAAAGAATGATGGGATTCCGTCGCGATATTCTTGCCTTTGCCAGTTGGCACTCGACTTCCACTTGCCATTTTTCGAATGGATTGAGAGAATTGAGCGGATTAATTGGGAAAATTAAGAAAGAATTGCGTGGATTGAGAAAATTGAGAGAATTTCGGAGAATTTGAGAGAATTTCGAGTATTGAGAAAATTTGAGACTTGAGAGAAGAGAATTTGAGAGAATTGTGTGTGTATTGTGAGAATTTGAGAGAATTTATAGGAAAAAATAGAAGAAAATTTAGAATTAAAAAAAATAAAACATAACCGTTGCAAAATTGCAACGGTTATGTGCTTTTTTTTTGTTTTTTATAAAAACGCCCGTTGGGGCGTAGCCGTTGCCCCAACGGGCCGCAAGGCGCAAGGTGCAAGCCCGCAGCAGGGCCTGCACGTCTGCAGGCCCGGCTGCGAATAAACTTTTTTTTTTTTGGGTTTGGCCGTTGGCCCGTTGCCATGCAGCGCTGCAGCATGGCCTGTGCTGCAGCCTGCCTGCAGCTTTTTTTTTCTTTTTTTTAATTTTTTTTTTTTTTTTTTTCGCAGAACCGGCCCGGAACCGGCGGTTCCGGGCCGGTTCAAATTTTTCTGGAACCGGAACCGGGACCGTATGCCACGGGCCGATTTCGGTTCCGAACCGCGGGCCCGGTCAACGGGCCGGGCCCGGGTTTGACCGGGCCAAAACCGGCCCGTGGCCACCTCTACCGTCACCGTAGGCATCTTCAAGCCGTACAGCAAAGTACTCTTTTCTGCTCTGTTATTGGCCAAGGAGTCCAAAGCATGCGAAATTGATCTAGTGCGGATGATTCTCTAGAATTTCATTGATATGCAGTTTCTGGAAACTAAATGGTGGACCATACCGTTGACTTGGCGGAGAGACTGTTCTACGAAGCTAGCATTACTTAGGCTCATGATTTTCCATTGTTCCTCATCGCCGAATCTTGAGCCCACGATTTGTTAGGCTTTGTAGTTTCTCAAATGAACAACATTTGGGTAGGGGCAGAAGCTAATTATAATCAGAGATGAAAGGTTTTAAAGATGGGGTTCCACAACTTTGGTCGATTTCTTGCTGAGGGGTAAAATTGTCTCCTCACTTTGAATGCGGTGCTCAAAGCCAAAGAAGCTGTGGAAATAGCAGCTGCTACCAAAAGGCAATCATTTCATCCCCATTTCTTCAATTTTCGAACGCAAAGCGATGCAACTGCTCACCGGTCGATATTCGTGACTAGCAATTGAAAACCCACCTGGTGAATTATCCTATACTAGAATGAGATCACTGCAATGACTAGCTACAACAGATGGGATAATAAGCCACCATCAGAATCCAAGTCGAAATTCTGATTGGTGATACCCAATTCATGTTTTTGGGGAGAGACGATAGAATTCGACGGATGAAAAGAATTTGTATGGAGTCTTCTCTTCTCGACATTTGAGGCTGATGGCCTCGCCTTTGAAGGAACGGACTTTGGAAGAGAGTCGGTTATAATTGGCTTTATCCTATGCTGACCGCCCTCGTTGTTGTCTAGAAGATCGTGAACAGCTTGAAGCTGTGCATCTAGAAGCAGAGCTTGAAGATCAGCTCTGCTGAATCCTTTTGTCATATGAGCTATAGCATCGAAGTCCACGTCACTAGCCAAAGGAAGCTGCACAAGGGCATTAGAGCATACACTCAGCAAAACCTCAGCGTTGCCCAATGGTTGCCATTTTTACTGACTGATTATACAGAATCGGATTAATATAATTAATTGAATCCACCCAATAGCTTCCTAATTAGCGAAAAGAAAAGAAAAGGAGAGGATGACGAAGTCTTAGAAAGGTTATACTAAATGATACCCAAAGGTAAGTCTTAGTCCCGTTTCATGGAATCAGCTATAAAGGCCTTCCTCTTTTCTTTTTCTTTTTTTTTTTCTGAGCAACATCAGTAGATGTTGAATCTACCAGTCTCAAGGTTCGAGGTTGAAAGTGATTTACTATTGGACATCTAAACATACCCAAGCCTCAGCTGAGCGGGTTGCAGATCCAACCCACAACGCCTTTTACAATGTTCTCTTGTTATTTACAATGTTTGGGGTGATTTGGGGCGGAAGGACTTTTAGAGAACTCCATCGGAGAAGGGGTTTTAACCTTTAACTTAACGTGTTTCACCAAATGTACTCTGTCAGATGCCATAAGTTCTAAACAGGATCTTTAGCCGCTCAAATTGACTCTGTTTCTAACTCTTTTTGTTTCTTTTTAAGCAATTCTCTGTTCATATGTAATCTTTCCGATGCATCTTTCTTGAAAAAGTAGGATTGCAGTTATATAGTTCTTTAACAAGTAATCCCATAAATTTCAATATGTACCACCTATTTCAGACCATGTCAAAGATGAAATGCTAAAAGCAAAAGCACTGGCAGATGGATGGAAGCTAAGTTTCTACCTTCCTGGATAAAAGTCTAAGAATATCCAGCCTCTTCTGAATAGAAGGAAAATCACAGAACATAAGTTGAGCCAGCCAGGTCTCAGAAGTGCAGCATCAAGTAAGTGCGCTCTACTGCTTCACATCAAATTCAACTCAGTTGGCATCCTTAGAAAGAAAATAAAGAAAAAGCATCCTTAGAAAGAAAAGTGAATTAGAATTATTAGGAGATAGATGAACCCTGAGCAAAACAAAAGAGCACCTCATGCAGCAGAGATTTCATGATGACTGAGAAATTGCACATGCTCGATGTCACAAGACTCAAACAATCAGCATCAGTTGATGCCGTTGTAGAGGCTCAAGACCAGGATAATACACTTCTTGTAAGCTACTTCAGCAACTAAAAAGTAATTCATGCAATCCCATCTTTTGTTACCTTCATTTTGATACATATGTAGTTTAACCAATACTGTGTATCCGAAGTTAAACAGTTCTAAATCAAGGAAAAGTCATGTCTAGCATTTTATAGTCTGCCTTGAAGGTTATTACATAGTATCCATACTACATGCTTCGTAGAAAATGTTTGTCAAAGCATTCATAATGGCCATGCAATTTTCAATAGCAGTTGACAGTTAGTGTGCTATTGGAAGAGAGTACTTTTTGTTATCATTTAAAACAAAATTATTACCTTGTTTCCGCAAACACAAACACACCGGTTAAACTGAGACACCACCGAATTCAGTAAAAAACTGCACCAAAGAATAACATACCAGTAGTGAGTCATACCATTAGATAGATTTCACATGACCACCTTATAAGTGCCATTGAATGCAAGAAACTAACTTGATTGACGACATGGTCAGTGACCCCATATTATCATGCCCCCTTTTTGGAGCAATGGAATCAAATTCATCGAAAAAGAGAAGGCAAGGTGCTGCAGCTGCTGCCTTCGAGAATATATCCAAACCTGTATTTTTCTAATTGTCGTTACTCTCAAATATTCAAAATCTCTCCATTTTGCTGACAAGATCAATGCCATCAACATGCAGAATAGAAAATCCAGTAGACATTTCATCACCAATTTCAAATATCTAGTAGAGAAAAGCTTCAAATATTTTACATCTTAATCTCACTCTTAATCAAATGGTCATAGAGGAACCTCTCATTCATGCGTGAGGAAACTCATCAACCGTTTTAACTTGGCCACGTCAATGGTTATGGGAGGATCCTCGTTGCTGTTGTTGAAAATAATTTAATCAGAACACCTTGGCCGCAGCAGGAGGATCCTCATTGGTCCTGTTAGTTATCCTATTTCGATTGCTAGCATACCTGAAGGGACCTCTATTAAATGCATCCAAAACAAACAGAAGAAAGCACAAAATTGTGAAGTGTTTGGAAATAACAAAGCTTAATACAAGATTGCACAATGGAATTCAATCATCATAAGTGTAGTTGAAAAGAAGCCTCTAATAGCTGGCTCAGAAGTACCAATGTACTTATTCAACATCTCAGCCTTTCACTGAGATGGATTGAAGAGAACAAGCTGCTGCTGCAGCACCAACAATGTGTGTCGTGCCAAAGCCCAGAAGTCCATTTAAAAAAACATTTGACCATGGCCTTAGAGGAGCTCGTGCAAAAACATTTCATCAGCAAATGTAAGAATGATAGACACGAAGATCAAATAGGTTTATTTAACAAGTTAACATTAACCACATTATCAGCTGAGATAGAGAGGATGAGTAGGTTTATTTAACAAGTTAACATTAACCACATTATTAGCAGAGACAGAGAGAATGAGTCACCGGAAAGAATAAACAAAAGCTACAGCTCAGACAAAACCAATGCACTTAAATAAACTTTGTTGAACAAAATCCATGCATAATCTCGCTCACTCACAAGAATGAATCAGGGAAACAATGGTAGGTAGTTAAGCCTCATCTCATTGAGATTCTGCAGAGCCTGACCATAAGCTCCCTTCGCTAGATTGTCAATCTGCAAAAAGAGGTTTAGACAGCTTACCACCTAAAGATGACTTTGATGTTACACGAAAAGTAAAGCACTTAACAAAAAACAGACACTTGGGAACCTACGACATAGATTAGTATTGCTCGTCCAGATACTCGATCAGGAAAGACACTCATAAAACAATAATAGGATCCTCGCACATGTTGAGTATGAGGAACAACCCCTTTTTCAAAGAAAATAACAAATTCCTCATCCAACAAGATGAAGTGAATTAAGCGATAGATAGCATGAAGTATGTGGGAAGCACACTCGAGAGTATGAAAGCAAGTCGCAGATCTTTCAAGTTTCAGTCCCCCAACATGTCTACTACTTGACTGACTTACCAAGATCTATGAAATAATAATGTACTTTGATTAAGCTAATTATGAGTACTGAAAATAAGTACCCCAGTAAACAAAAGCTAAGGTTAATACTGGGTACATTAAGCCACTGAATGCCTTAGCGGAATAGGATTGTTAGCCAGAAAAGGTCTACCCTATAAGCAACTAAAAGTTGCTCATATAGATACCCAACCATTACACCTGTAGACATTTCAACATGAATAGTTGATTGCATAAATAGATGAAGAAAGCTAATAATTATTACATTTGCCTAATTTAATCCATCGATGAGTCAAAGTCATCAAATTCATAGACCCAGCTCAAAACAGCAAAGGAAAAAGAAAAAGACATGTCATCAGCACAACAAATAAGAATTCAAGAATGTAAATGCCTTATGGACAAATTGCAACATCTTCCCCAACTGTGTTTGGTAATTTAAGATGGGAGGGAATGAACGAATAGCAAACAACAAGAGAAGAAAAATGTGATTTCACTCTCTTTTGAGAACGAGCATTAAAGAGAAATGATGTAGAGGAAAATTGAGTTAGTTGATTGTTGAAAATACCTCTTGTCAAACCAAATTCTGTATACCTTCTTAGTAAACCTAACATTATTTAAATATTTTTATAGATCAAAGGGAATAATTATGTTCATTCCTTTTCTCTCCATGATAACCCATAAGGAGTTTCGTTATTGACAAAATGCAGGAGCTGAACAAGGCAGGCCAGTCACTTAAATCTTGTAATTAAGCAAAGTATTAGCAAACTCAAGTGCACGCAAATTGAATGCAAAAAGATTCTATCTGAAATTTTTCCAGGTGATAAATCTTATGAATATGGGAGTGTGTCGAATGCACGACCCTATAGTCTGTTTCGAAACTGAAATTCACATTTAAACTAGTACATAGCCTCTAGCACTGAAAACTAACATGTATGGATAATGCCACAGTTATGACGAAGAAGCATAACATATTACAACCCCTTCAGCTCATGTCAAAGAACATCTCTTTCACATTTTCCTGTACGGCACAAAGTTACTCATTCCTAGCACCAGAAATTGCAGAATGCACAATTCAATGCAACTAACCTAGTCTTCAACAACATGGTGGCTTGACCATATCGACCAGTTTACTCCAATATCAATGGTCTCCTAGCGCAAATTTCACGCATAAATGGCTAAATAATAGAATGGAGAAAGAGACTTCACAAAGCACACCGTGACTCAAGACTTGAGGCTTCACTCTTCCGCTAACCAGGCATTAATTCCAATATTTCATTCCTCACAAATCATGATTGTTCTCGAGTGAAATTAAAAAAACACTCCATAAGGTGAGACCAGTACTCTCAACCACCTCTAACTTACAACAAGTTAGGTGCCGTGAAGCATGTCAACCTCGACATTATGCTGATGCGCAGCATAAACCAACTAAGAATCACCACCGTCGAGGTGAGCGAAAGTATCGCATGTTCACCAAACATGAAAAAGGATTTTCCCTCAGAGATAACAGGACGAATGAATACAAGAGGTGGTTCCAGAACAAAGATGAAAGGTTAGCTAAAGGAAAACTCACAAAACAGGACGCAGCAACATTTAGGTTTCATCTCTAACACATTGAAAGAAAAAACAAAGACCGTCTACTTAAGAAGCCTCACTAATCCTATGGACTTACTATCATCGACTGTCTTTGCCAATCAAATGATACATACCTTATCCGTCTCTGTTGAACCTCGGGCAACCACGGACGTCGAGTTGGCAAGATTTTGGCACACCCAGCACGCTCTCCAGTGATGCACACGAATAGATCTCCAATCTTTTCAGATTATGTAAATTAGACAGATCAGATTCGTTTAAGCTTTTGATGGAATCGCAAGTCCAGATCCGCAATGTCCGCAATGATTTCAATTCTCCCAAACCCTGAATCTCAGTTAGCCGAGGCAACTGTAACAAATATAAACACTGGATCTCCTTCAGACCTGGCGGAACGGACAGCGTCTCGAGCAATGGACAGTCGGACATCCCCAATTCATTGAATTTCGGTAGCTTTCCAAGGACCTCGAATCGAATCTCTCCGAGCGTATATCCTCTAATACACAGTGTTGACAAATTCTCCAAGTTGGAAAAAAGTGACCAATCAATCGGTGACTGGAGATCCTCTAAAGACAATTCTCGAAGGCTGGATGGAAGCTTGATAAGAGATCGGGAGTCGGCACAACTTACCTGGAGGCGTTGTAGCTGAGAGAGGGAACTGAAATCGGTTGGAGGCAAGGCCATTTTTCCAACGCGGAGGGTCAATTGCCTCAGAGCACGTAATCTCCCGAGCCCCTCTATTTGGGCTTCTTGCACTAATGTTCCGATTATAGAAAGCTCAACTAAATTGGTTAAATTTGAGAAGTCGGGGATATTGGTCAACGACTTCGATGATAAGCGTAACACCGTTAGACTCTTTGGAAGCTCCGGCAGCTGTCGAATTGAATGACACTCCCGTAAATCAAGTGTTTGGAGATTTGTAAGCTGATTGATGGTTGTTGGCAATCCACTAAAGCGGCTAAAGGATAAGTTTAGAATTTTCAACGAGGATAGTGCCCCAATTTCACTTGGAATTTCCCCCTCCAGATGTGTAGAGGAGGCATGTAACTCTTCCAGATTTTCCAACATTCCTATGGTTTTCGGAAGTTCACTTATATAGCTACGATTCAGATCTAGTACTTTTAAGTTTTTGAGATTTCCAATACAATCAGGTAAGATCCTGATGTTTGATTCTTTCAGAACCAACTTGACCAATGAATGGAGCCTCCCAATCGAGTCTGGTAGCTTTTCTAATCCGCAACTTGGGATCATAAAAAATTTCAACCTTTCTAGGTTTCCAATGGAATAAGGTAATTCTCTAATGCTTGTCCATGTGACATTTAGCTCAAGCAGCGACTCCAGTTGTCCAATAGAGTCGGGAAGCTTTCGAAGTTCATGGCATGTCAAGATTAGATGCTTCAACTTCACTAAATTACCAATTGAGTAAGGCAACACCGAGAGTCTCTGAGAATATATTATTAGCTTTGTTATAGATTGTAGACTGCCAATGGACTCTGGTAGTGACTCGATATCTGTATATTCTATTTTTAGCTGATTAAGATGTTGTAGATTGCCGATGGACTCGTCAATCATACGTAGTTTAGTGCATCTTGTGAGAATCAATATCTCCAGTTTCGAGATTGTGGAGAATGGGGGCGTCTTTGTAAGGGACCAACAATCCACGAGTTTTAGGACCTTCAACTGTTTTGCTACCTATAAAGCAATTGAGTTGAAACTCAGAAAAGAGGAAGAGTAAATGTAATGCAAAAGTATGTCGTGAGATCATAGTAATATTATTCCCAGAAAGCTTAAGAACTGCTAGGTTCTTCATTCCTAAATTGGTAGCTCGGAATTCCAAAGGGCAATTGCTCCAAGAGAGCCATCTTAACTCGGAGAAAAGATCCTTAAAGTTTCCTTCCAAGCTTCCATGGTCCAATTGAAGGAACCTAAGGTTGACCAACATCGCAAATTCCTTGCGTTTAAATCTGTACGTCGCATCAGGTTCATGTATGCCAAGATTGAGCGCTACTATGTTCTCCGTTAACTGGAAGATCAAAGTGGCAACCAATGAGTACTAAGTTAGATTGAAAAGGTTATGTTACTATTTGAATAAACAAAAAAACATTTAGAGGTAAAAATTACCTTCTTTCTCTGCACTGCATGGAAGGCATCCTTGGGTGACCACAATCTGCTACCCCTTAAAAGTATATTGCAACTTTCCGAGCGGACGACATCCCTTCCGAGGTCTCTAAGTTGGTCGTGCATCCATAATTTATCATAGTCCATGATCTTTATCAGTGACATACGTGTGAGGATCTTGACTTCAATTTCGGTGGGATACCCAAAAACCGCGTCCCAATATTTAATTGCAGTTATTTTCTCTTGGTTAATGAAGAAACATGCGATATCAAGAAAAATCTGTTGTTGACAAGAGTCCAAGGCCTCATAGCTTATCATCAACTTCTTCTTGACATCCTCGTTCATCACTTTCTTTAACTTACATAGGACGGCTTCCCATGTTCTATGGCATTTTCCACGGAGTGTGGAACCTACGACATCAAGAGCCAACGGAAGTCGTCCAAGCACATTGACTAACTTATTTGAAATATCTATGTAATCAGCCGGAGGCTCGGCACATCCCAAGGCACGCTCACAGAAAAGTTTAAGAGCATTGTGTGAATTCATCTCTGGCATATCATAGAATGAAAATTGTCCACCTCTAGAGGCTTGGACATTTTCATCCTCACCTTCCATTACTAGGAATTCAATGTTCCTTGTTGTTATGATGATTCTACTTCCTCCACCAAACCAATTGGGCTCGCCTGCAAGTCTCATGATTTGGTCCCGATTGTCGATGTCATCAAGAACAATGAGGACTTTTTTGTCATGAAACCTCGTCTTGATCATGTCAGCCCCTTCATCAACGAAGGAGAGGTTTATGCAGCTCGGATTGAGAATATCAAACAATAATTTCTTTTGTAAGTTTATTATATCATGAGTCCGAACATCTTTAATAAAGCAGCAATGACCTTGAAATTGAGGGGAGATTTGCCTGAAGACGACATCAGCTAGCGTCGTCTTTCCGATGCCACCCATACCATGAATCACGATAAACCGTACATCCAAAGCTCCTAGATCTAACTTCTTCATAATGTCATCCATTGGGCCCTTAATTCCCACCAAATGATCAGGCACGTCTGTCCGTCTTGTCCATAACAAACTAGAAACCTCTTTGACCGTGAGATTTTTAAGTTCATCTAGGCTGCCACATACATAAGATGCAATCATCTCAAATTAAAAAACCAAATATATGGAAACCGTGCATGCATTACGTGGCACTGGAAGGTTATCATCAAGTTCCAAGTAATTTGCTTTTAAAGCAACCAACACAGAAAAAGTGATCATGTAGCTGTGAGCCATTTGAAAACAAAAAACCAGAAAAACAGATTCTTTCAAGGGGAGGAGGCGGAGGAGGGACCTTCATCACAATTGAAAGCTACTACTATCAAGGTTCATTGGTCCAGTAAATGGCGGGAAAAGGTTATTTCATGACTGAGGGTCTAATTAGGCTTAGACTAGAAGTCGCTCCGACATATTGTCACCTAATAATTGCCGCGCAGTTGGGTTTCAACAGGTTGTGCACCTCGGTTTCATTCCTTTCCCTTCCATTTCAGGGGAAAATTACCAAATCATTCCTAAATCTATTCAACATATGCCAATTCATTCATAAATTTTTCAATTTTAATAATGTGATCCTAAAACTATACATGAAATTATAATATAGTCATTCTGACCAATTTCTTTCAGAAATGACTAATGTGGCAATCTACGTAGGACGTCATTTTGAGTAAAATTGTTCACGTTAGTGTGTCACGTAGGATGGCCAATGATGATTGGACACCACATTAATACTTTTCTGCAACAATTGGCCAAAATGATTATATTGAAATTTTACACAAAGGTTTATAACTACGTTGATAAAATTGAAATGTTTAAGAGTGAATTGGCTTCCATACAATAAATTTAGAATTGCTTCAATAATTATGCCTCCATTTCACTTTATACTTTTTTTACAGTGGTTGGTTTCTTCTTGTCACACATAGCGAGACCTCTAGAGGTTTGCCTAGATATCAAGTCCTTGGTAAACCCGGTCCTAATCATCTATCTCCTCAAGCACTTGGGATGAGTTTGAAGGTGGCAAAAGAAAAAATCTCGCTAAGCAATTACCTTGAAGGAACAAGAATATTAGCTCAAAAGCATTTTTCTTAATGTACACGACGACGAGGAATACTTTCTAGAATATATATCAACCTTAATTTGAGTTACCAACAAACATATCTCCAAATAAGTTACAACTAATTTGAGGTTACCAATTCTTTATTGATAACAATAAACTATTGGGTACTTTAATCGACATAAATTGGTAAGTAACTTAAATTATGGTTGGTAATTTAATAACAGAATTCGGAGCCTAATAATGTAACCTTACAAATAAAAGTTGGTGAATTATTAACAAATATTATTATAAAGATTGGTGATTTTGAAACAAATTTAAATAATGATAAATGGCTCAAATAAGAATGAGTAACTTAAACTAGTTAGTTTTGACAAAATAAAAACTTAGACTAGTTAGTAACTTACTTAGAGATTAGTTAATACGACACTTATATTAGAGTTAGTAATTTGGTACTAGACTTGGTAATTTTGAAATGTGAAGTAAACGATATGTTAAGTCGTACAAAAGTTGTACATCGGTAAATGATGTAATAAACTTAGTAAATGACCCAAATAAAAGACGGTAAGTTAAAACTAGTTGGTAAAATAATTGAAAAAGAAGTTGGTGAAGCACAAATTAAAATTGGTAATTTAAAATTGATAACTTTAAAATTTGCACGGCACGGGTTGGGCATGGTCGGTCATGGGCCTGCCCTTCCCCATTCTCGGATCCACCCGTTCTTCTTCCTCCATTGGCAATGATGTTGGCGGATATAGTGAGCAGAACAGAAACAGTAAGTATTAATGAAGAAGGATGTTGGTAAGCAGAGAGTAACGACTAGGGTTTGTAGAAAAACCACCACAAACTAGGGTACAGAATAGCTACATATCTCAAGGTAATTAGAATTGTTAAATTACTTATCCATTTTCTGGAGGTTCCTAGATTCGTCTAACCATAACTATAACTACCCAGAAGTCCCATAGGTGAATTTTTGGCTAATTTAGACCCGGGGCCATGAATAGTTCCATGGTTAAAGCAAGAGCATGAACCAAATTTTTTTTTAAATTTTTTACTAGCATAAAGGGTGTTTGACGGTGACAAAATATAGATCACCTATAGAAGAATGTTCAATTTAAGGCCGCAGATTTTCCGTATGCACAGCCACTAGAGGAGCCTATGACTCCTGCCCCACCACGATGAAAGTAAAAGCCCAAAATCCATAATCCTCCTAAACTTAAGTCAGTCCTTTGCAAATTAACTCAGGTTTCCTGTAACTAGAAATAGAACGGAGGATTGAGCCTCTAAAACAGGTAGAGATCTTTTTTATGTTCTTTCGGATAAAGGGATGCCAAGATCTTTGTAGTGCTCGGTCTTGTATACTCAAACCAACTAGAAAAACCATCATACAAAAGCTTCATTATTTTCTGTGTAACTCAGGGGTATGACCGTATTTGACCGATGACCTCAAGGGAAACAGTAGCAAAACATATGAACTCCTTAAGGCCAAAACCGAATCCACAACGATCGGTTCCTCAGCTAAAAGTATGGGAACGTCCTCGTCACTGGGTCAATCCCAAAGGGGGTCAGCTCCATCATTTCTTCCTCTTGGCCGTAAGTTTCCCGCGCACTTTTTCGTCTCCCTAGAGTACACCATACACTAACATGAATGAACTAACTATAACCATTAATAGCTCGGAACACATAAAGAAGCTCCTTACTGAGCTCTCCTATTTTGGGCTGATTCTTCCTCAGCTTTCATTAGTATAACAAAAGAAAAAAAAATCTAATGTCAAACTCAATCTAATTTTTTAGGCAAACATCATGGGCATAAGGTCGAGATACCAGGAGTCCTTAACTTTATGTACAGTATGCAATTGAAGCTAAGAAACTTAATTTTTTTTTTATTTTTCACACATAGGTCATACTGTTTTATCACATCTTAGATCTTCAGGGATATCTTGGTTGTTTTCCATTATAGATTAATTAATTAAGTTGAAATACCTTAACACTAATTATTATCAAAACTCGGAATTAAAAATGAAAAGTCAATTTGTGCAAGAAACCTCGCCCTCTATGCAAAATTCTGGGCTCCCTCATTGCGTCAAATCCAACCAAACATTACACATGGTTGGACAGCAGCAAACTGAATCTAATTATTCTTTGAAGGAACAAGAAATCGAAAATGTCAATAAGAAAATAAAGTCAATGGAGAAGCAAACAATACCCGTGATCTTTTAGATTCCTTCCTCTAATTCTGGCAACCTCTCTTAAAGCCTCCTCCCACTTCTTTGCTAAATCCTTCCCGGAGTTGCTCTCGTGCTTTTGGAGGGCTTTCCGATATAACTCGGTCTTAAGCTTGACATCATCCGCGTCCACGTCATAGAAGATAGGGAGGATCACTTTCTCATCGTTATCTCTCGATAACTCCGCTATGCGTGCCAGCTCACGGAGGCACCACTTACTTGAAGCGTAGTCTTTGGAGAAAATCGGGATGTAAATTCTGGAGTCATTGATTGCTTGCAAGAGGCCGCCTTCAATCTCTTCGCCAAATCGGAGCTCTTCATTGTCTTTAAAAGCACGGATCCCCACACGAATCATGTCATTGTAGAGACAATCAGCGATGGTTAAGCGGGTTTCGGGTCCTCTGAAGCTCAGGAACACCTCGTAGCCCCTCCCCGATCCATCATCACGACTACTACTTGCCGGAGCTGTCAGAGCCGTCTCTTCTCCCTCCCACTTTCTCTTCATTCCGAGAGGACGATGGAGTATTGATCTCCGAATTGAGTCCGCCCGGTGACTCGGGAAGTTTGAGTCTGATCCTTGCAACAACTTGACAAAGCAACAGAGTGAAATCGCTCACTTCCACTGCGTTTGCTTGGAAATCACCTGCGACCTTCCTTCATAAGCAAACAAAAGCATTCAGGCTAAGTTGAGGAAATAATTGATGAAAGTCGTCGAAAAGGAGGAGGTGGTCTCGGAAATATGAGTTGCGTGTTGATGAATGGTTAGATGTTGGATGTATATGGACAACTTAAAATGAGTTTCACTTGCCATTACTTTGGTACTACGCGCCATTTGCCTGGAAGCCACCTGCAGCCTTCCTTCATAAATAGAAGAACCCAAAAAGCCATTCATACTCAGAAACTATTAGCTATTGCGAAAAAGTTACATGAAATTGAATATAGACTAAGATTGCACGTTATGATTGCACTTCCATGGTAGATTGAACGATGATAAAATGAAATTGCTTGCCGATTGAAATTGTACACCGAATAAAATTGCACTGATATTTAAATCAAATGCTGATTTGTCAGGATTTGATTCGTCTCTATCATATGTTTATTGGTTGATTTGGCATTGGACTCATATTCGTTTAAATGGACATTGATCTCTTATGGAAATTGCGAAGAAAATGTGGTTCCTCCTTCACATTGATTCCAGTAAAGCTGAGATTTTTCAAACATTTTATTCTCAAAGTTGTGACTTTTATGATTTTTTTATAATATCAACCTCAGTTTCCTGGTATTTTCAAGGCCCGAAATTTCAAAACACACTTCGCCGGTTGTGCGAGTGAGTTGCCAATCTCCAATCGGAACTTGTAAGTATTGATAGCTTTGTGTGTGTACTAGTGTGAACACACGAATTGCGAGCCTATTTGAGGTGCAATTTGTCAATATTCAGACCAATGCATAACGAGTGAATTGACTAGACAAAACATACTTCGGTGCTTTCTCTTTTGCCTTCACAAGAGGGTCGGACAAAGACTTGAGGATTGACTTGTGGACATTATAAGCAAAAAAGAAAAGGTAGGCTCATCTTTGTTTCTTAAGGAAGTTTCTCTCCTAACTCAAATAGGCTTCATTAAATTAGACTTGTCAGTATTCAAATCCCCGTAAAATCGGATCTATCAAAATCATTAGTTGAATAAATTTCACATGGATATCACAAAAATCAATGGATGTAATTGCATCTGATCCAGGGACCATGATCTATGAACTACTTCCCTTCAATGGTTCCTTGATGGATCAATTCCAGTCATAGCTCATCATAAGTATCATGAACGTATTATACTTTCTAATGCGAACTGTGGCAATATGGACATGAACTACTACTGAGGGATTAATTAGGCCGATTTGATGTCAATTTGATTCGAATTATCACAAGCTCCAGAGGGAATAACCTCAGTTCACACTCCTCATCATCCAGTAAATCAACCCCAGAGATACGAAAGATTGCCTACGCATCTAAGATCGAGTTGACCCGACAAAAATGAAAAAAGGCCTCATAAAATTGGATCCTCCAGCAGACCAAATTGTAAATTTTACTAGTGGCCGACCACTTTCCTTTATTCAAGAAAAGTTAGCGACTATAAGTTTGGCACGTGGATTCCACCCATTCATCTTCACCCTTTCGGTTTGGCCGGCCACTAGAGAGAAAAAAGTGAGAAAAAAGGGTGGGACAAAGCTGTCCCGCAGAACTTTGGTGCGAAACTTGAGGATATTTGCACCATTTCTCGGCAACTTTTGGGAGTCCATGTTTGGTAGATGAAGTCTCATTAAGGTTGAGTTCAAATTGAGGTTACGTTTTATCAAGTTTTAAGCTGAAATTCATCTAGCTTTCATGGAATTATTCTCATGGTCCTAGTCTTTTGAGGAGAAATTGATTTTTTAATCAAGTTTATGGCGAGTGTGACACATGCATCCTTATAATAGAAAACACTAATTGATCTCACTTTATAAATCCCTGCACTTTAAAATTTCTCCAAGATATTTCATTACATTTAATGCAAAATAAGCAATTTGCCACATCTTCTTCCCTAACTCTGTTTGGTAATCTAAGATGGGAGAGGGAATGAACGAAAAGGAAAACAAACAGAGAAGAATAATGTATTTTCATTCTCTTCTGGAGATGAACATTAAAGAGAAATAATGTATAGGAAATTTGAGTTAGCTGATTGTTCAAATCAGATTTTGTATACCATCTTATCTTAGTATACCTGACATTATTTAAATAATTTTATGGATTAAAGGGAACAATTATATTCATTCATTTTCCATTCATGATAACCCATAAGAAGTTTCAATGTTGACAATATCCGGAACTAAACAAGGTAAGTCAGTCACTTAATTCTTTTAATTAAGCCAAGTTTTAGCAATCTCAAATGCACGCAAATTGGGTGCAAAAAGATGCTATCATCGACTGACTTTGCCATACAAATGATAAATACATTATCCGTCTCTGTAGAGCTGGTAAGGGCCATCAAAATCACGTAACCTCAAGCATCCTTTTATAGCGAGACAGCATGATGTTTTCGTGTGTGGCACATCCGACACGCTCTCCAGTGATTCACATCCATAGATCTCCACAATATTCAGATTCTGTAAATTAGACAAACGAGTTTCGGTTAACTTTTTAATGGAATCACAATCTTCAAAACATAACGTTCATAATAATTTCAATGCTCCCAAACCCTGAATTTCAAATAGCTGACGCAATTCCACCAAAAACAGAGACTTGAGATCTCCCTCAAACATGGCAGAAGGGGCAACGTCTTGAGCAATGGACACTCACACATTGTGAAATCATCGAATTTCCAGAGCTTTTCAAGCACATCGAATTGAATCTCTCCTAGCTGATATTTAGGGGGATACAGCATTGACAAGTTCTCTAAATTGGAAAAGAGTGACCAATCTATCGGTGAATGGACATCTATTAAAATCAAATATTCAAGGCTGGCTGGAAGCCCAGTAAGAGATTGGGGGTTAACACAATTTATATAGAGGTAGTTTAGTAGCCAGAGGGAACTCAAATCGGTGGGAGGCAAGGTGATACCTTCAAAAACCAAGGTCAAACTCCTCAGAGAACGTAGCCTTATAAGCCAATCTATGTTGGGTTCATGCACTGGACTTCCGTCCATTACAAGACAATCTAAATTGGTCAGGCTTGAGAGGTTAGGGATTGCGGTCAGTGATGTAACTAAAAAACTTAAAAACTCTGAACTCTTAGGAAGCTCTAGCAATTGTTCAATCCAATCACATTGCGCTAAACGAAGTTCTTGGAGATTTGTAAGTCGATTGATGGTTGTCGGCAATCTACTACATCTACAAAGTGATAAATCTAAAATTCTCAACGAGGATAGCAACCCAATTTCACTTGGAATTTCCCCCTCTAGGCATTCACACATTGAGGCACACAATTTTTCTAGATTTTCCTCATCCAGCATGATAAAGTGAATTAAGCGATCAAACAGCATGAAGTATGTGGGAAGCACACTTGAGAATATGAAAGGAAGTCGTGGATCTTTCAAGTTTCAGTCACCTAACATGTTTACTACTTGACTGACTTACCTAGATCTTTAAAATAAATATGTACTTTGATTAACCTAATTAGTACTGAAAATAACTACTTCAGTAAAAAAAAAGCTCAGGCTAATACTTAGTACATTGAGCCATTGAATACCTAAGCAGAATAAGGCTATTAGCAAGAAAAAAGTTTGCCTAGCCAGCAACTTTAAGTTGCTCAAATAGATCCCCACCGTTACACTTGAAGACATTTTAGCATGAATAGTTGACTGCAGTCCAGGATTCGGCATAAATAAATGAAGAAAGCTAATAATTATAGCTGGACAAGCAGAACTTCAACTTTAAGAATGAAAATTGCAACTATAACCATTGGCATCAAATGTGGAGTAAAGCTGACAGTGATCTTTGATTGTGTAGCATCAGATAAACCCTGCTCAATCTCTGGAACTGCAGGGAACAAAAATGATACAAAAGTGAGCAACCCAGCTTATAGCATTTGCCTTATTGAATCCATCGACGATGGGTAGAGTCATCAAATTACCAGACCCAACTCAAAGCATTAAAGGAAAAAGAAAAAGACATGTCATCAGCCCAACAAATAAGACTTCAAGAATGTATATGACTTCTCGGGCAAATTGCAACATCTTCCATAACTATGTTTGGTAATTTAAGATGGGAGAGAATGAACGAATGGCAAACAAACGGAGAAGAAAAATGTAATTTCACTCTCTCTGGAGATGAACATCAAAGAGAAAAGATGTAGAGAAAAATTGAATTAGTTGATTGCTCAAAATACCTCTTGTCAAACCTAATTTTGTATACCTTCTTATTATACCTGACATTACTTAAATATTTTTATGGATCAAAGGGAATTATTCATTCCTTTTCTCACCATGATAACCTTAAGAAGTTTCCATATTAACAATTTCATGAACTGAACAAGGCAGCTAAGTCACCTAAATCTTTTAATTAAGCAAAGTATTAGCAAACATATGATACATACCTTATCCATCTTTGTTGAACCTAGGGCAGTAACTTATAGTGAGTTCACAAGATTTTGGCACACCCAACACGCTCTCCAGTGATTCACACCGATTGAAATCCAATCTTTTTAGGTTCTATAAATTAGATAGATCGGATTCGTTTAAGCTTTTGAGGGAATTGCAGTTCCAGATCCATAATGTCCGTAATAATTTCAATTCTCCCAAACCCTGAATCTCAATTAGCTGAGGGAATTGGCGTAGATACAAATGCTGGATCTCCTTCAAACAAGGTAGAATGGGCAACGTCTTAAGCAACGGACAGTCAAACATCTTCAATTCATTGAAACTCCTTAGCTTTCCAAATCCATCGAATCGAATCTCACCTAGCGAATATCTTTCAATAATTAGCCTTGACAAATTCTCCAAGTTGGAAAAGAGTGACCAATCTATTGGTGATTGGACATCGATTAAAGTCAACTGTTGAAGGCTGAATGGAAGCCTGGTAAGAGATCGGGGTCAACATAACTTACAAAGAGTTCTTGTAGCTCAGAGAGGGAACTCAAATCGCTTGGAGGCAAGGTCATTTTTCCAACCCACAGGGTCAACTTCCTCAGAGCACGTAGTCTCGAAAGCCCCTCTAAGTTGGCTTGTACAAGTGTTCCGCTTATATCAAGATGAACTAAATTGGTTAGGTTTGAGAAGTTAGGGATTGTGGTCAGTGAGTCCAATGAAAAGCTTAACGACCTTAGACTCTTAGGAAGCTCTGGCAAATGTTGAATTGACCTACAATCCCATAAA